GGGCATTAGTTAACCCAAAAGGCATGACCAAATACTCGAACTGGGAGTCGAAGGGAGTCTTAAATGCCGTCTTCCACTCATCCCCTTCACATATCCTAAGGAGATTGTGAGAAAAAACGGCTCGCCAGCTCCCGTCTCACGTCAGAGGAGGAGTAAGCAGATGACTTGCAAAAAAAACTAAATGGTAAGAACCAGCGGACGACAAAATTCCAGTTAAAAAGCGTGTAGCAATTTATTTACTGGCGATGGTGAAGACAAAAAAAAACAAAACAAACAAAATACTTTCAAATAAAGAAAACAAAACCGGCCATTGCAGGCAATACAAAAAACTGACAGCCTCACAGCAAGCTGACATTAAATATAGTTATTTTTAAAGCAGACCTTCCAAAACAGTTTCTCCAAGCAGCCCTCCAAGCAGCCCTCCCAAGACATTGTGAGTATGCCCCTTAAATAGACCCACCAATAATTAACCAATTGGGACAGCCCAACTGAACAGGAAGGCAAATCCCAAATAAACCACAGTTAACATTATAGAAAAATAAATACAGACAATATCATCATTCATACAAAAACATACATATTTATGAAATAATTTAACCATACAAACATTACCATTTCACCTACTTATTATCATGCAAACAATTATCACACACACTGAAATCCCACTTAACACCCCTGCCCCCTAATAGTCTTTTCCAATGCCCTGGGACAATGAATAAGAGATTGGCTCCGATGCGGTACGTGTTTCCACACGGACCAGTATTCTGACGGACCAAGGGAAGAGAAAGTGTAATTTGACTAGGAAGTTTTATTGCCGACTACGGAATGTATACTGATGCTGACACAGTGGATACTGTCAGAGTTTGCTACGCTGGTGAGTAAGAAAAATGTTAAATGAAAGGTGACGTTGTAATTTCAGAACTAGTGATAATTACTGGGTGAAATGTTTGGAACTGCCGCCGCCATGATGGCCGGTCTGTGGTGCATGCTGGGAAATGTAGTGAAGGATGCAACGCTGTGTGTGATAGACGGCGGCTATACTTTGGGAACAGAGGGGGAAAACGGCTCCGTTTTCACATTTCCTCCCCCTTCTGAAGTCTTGACACAGGGGTGGCGAGACAGGAAATCCGCTACAGGGTTCAGCTTCCCCGCCCTGTACTGAATTTTAAACCGAAATGGCTGTAAAGACAAAAACCATCTTGTAATGCGAGCATTGGAGTCTTTCATTTTCCCCAACCATTGGAGTGCCCTATGGTCAGTCTCAAGCAGAAAGTCTCTTCCTAACAGGTAATATCTGAAAGACTCAAGAGCCCATTTCACAGCTAGGCACTCCAGCTCCACCACAGAATACCTGGTCTCCCGAGGAAATAGTTTGCGGCTGATATAAGCCACAGGCTTCTGCTGTTCATCCTCCCCCTGGAGAAGGACCGCCCCCAGCCCAACTCCAGAGGCATCAGTCTGCACAACAAAAGGTTTCTCAAAGTCTGGACTTTGCAGCACCGGCTCACAGAGTAATGCTGCCTTCAAGTCTTGGAAAGCCCGTTCATGCACCTCCTCCCACTTCACCCTTACTGACCCCGACTTCCGGGTCAGGTCAGAGAGAGGTGCAGCCCGGGTAGCAAAGTTCGGGACAAATCTCCGGTACCACCCCACCAGCCCCAAGAAAGACCGTATCTCCTTTTTGGTCTGGGGTTGTGGGCAGTCTCGGATAGCCTCCAACTTGTCCTTTTGAGGTTTGATTACCCCACTGCCGATGATGTGTCCCAGATACCGGACCTCCGGCTGGGCTAGGGCACATTTCTTTGGCTGGATTGTCAGCCCAGCTGCGTGAATGCGCTTCAGAATCTCGGCCAGGTGTTGAATATGGTCTTGCCAGGTGGCACTGTAAATCACCACATCGTCCAAATAGGCTGCAGCATAGGCTCCAGGGCCCTCCAAGACTTGGTCCATCAGACGTTGGAAAGTGGCTGGTGCTCCCTGTAGGCCAAAAGGCTTAACAGTAAATTGATAAAGACCTTGAGGGGTACGGAAGGCCATGTATGGTCTGGCTCCCTCCGCCAACGGTACCTGCTAGTACCCCTTACAGAGATCAAGGGTTGTGATGAACTGCGCCCTCCCAAGGCGCTCGATAAGGTCCTCCAGCCTCGGCATTGGGTATGCATCGAAGTGAGACTGAGCATTAACTTGCCTGAAGTCAATGCAAAAACGGATGCTCCCATCCTTCTTCGGCACGAGCACAATGGGACTACTCCAACCACTGCTGGAACGCTCGATGACCCCAAGCTGCTTCATGTCCTCCAGCTCCTGCTGGAGGGCCGGCAACAAGCGCTCAGGGATACGATACATCCGCTGCCTCACCGGAGTGGAGTCTTTCAGCGGGATGTCATGGTCCACCAATGAAGTATGCCCCGGCTGCTCGGAAAACAGACCTGCAGGTATGACAGCCTGCACTTCCTTGGCCTGCTGAGCAGTCAGGTGTGAAAGGTCTGGTTCAGTGGGGGAAACAGCAGCTGGAAAGAACTGCTCTGGTGGATCCTCATCCTCCTGCACTGCTTGTACCATCAGCTGTTGGCTGACAGGTGGCTCCCGTCCGTGCCACTCTTTGAGAAGGTTGACATGGTAGGCCTGTCGAGTCTTCCGCCTCCCCGGCATCTCCAACTCGTAAGTCACTGGGCCCATCTGACGCGTAATTCTGTACGGCCCTTGCCAACGGGCAAGGAGCTTGTTCTCCGTTGTCGATAACAGCAACAGGACCTGCTGCCCCGGTGAAAAAGTTCTCTGGCGTGCAGACTTGTCATACCACCGTGCTTGGGTCTCCTGCGCCTGCTGCATATTCTCCTCCACCAAGGAGGTCATCTCCTCCAGCTTGTCCCGCATCCTAAGGACATAGGAGAGGACGCCGTCTGCTGCTTCCGGTTGAGGTGCCACCCAGGCATCTCGCAATAAATCCAGAGGGCCCCGAACATGGCGCCCGTACAACAGTTCAAAGGGCGAGAACCCTGTAGAGGCCTGGGGAACCTCCCTGTAGGCAAAAAGCAGGTACGACAACCACTGGTCCCAGTCTTTGCCATTCAGAGCAACAAACTTTTTGAGCATGCTCTTCAGTGTGCGGTTGTATCTCTCAACCAACCCATCAGTCTGGGGGTGGTAGGGAGTAGTCCGTATCCCCTTTATCCCCAGTAAGCTATAGACCTGTTTGAGTGTCTTAGATAGAAATGCAGTGCCCTGATCTGTAATTATCTCCTGAGGTATGCCTACCCTAGAGATCAGCTGGAGTAAGGCACGGGCAACAGCAACGGCTGTGATTTTGCGCAAGGGGAAGGCTTCTGGGTAGCGGGTAGCATAATCACATACAACAAGGATGAACCGGTGACCTGACCTTGTTCTCTCCAGGGGACCAACGATATCCATCCCTATTCTATGGAATGGGACACCAATAATGGGGAGAGACTTAAGTGGGGAAGGCCTAACTTTATGGCTACTGGTCAGTTGACAGATGGGACATGACTTGCAATACTTCAGGACATCAGTATATAACCCTGGCCAGTAGAATCGCCGTGCTATCCTCTCAAAGGTCTTGACATTACCCAAATGTCCTGCTAAGGGAACATCATGACCTAGGGCCAACACTTTTCCCCTCAGACACTGTGGCACTACCACCTGCTCAATACTGCCCCCCTCAAGTTGATGAAAAAGCAAACCATCCCTGATAAAATAATCCTCCCCATACAAAGCAGTGGCTATCCCATTCTTTTCCCCTTCAGTTTCTGTTGCTTTACTGAAAAGCTCCTTTAATGACTCATCTTCCCTCTGCAGATCCCTAATGTTACTTGGAGGCTCCCATATGTCTGCTTTATCAACATCTGGAACTGGCAACTGCTCTGCCATTTTCTGAACTGATCCCAATAGCTTTTCCCGTCTTCTCTGTCTGCGGCTTTTGTGTAACTTCTCATGCTCAGGGAAGTCTATGTCAGTGTGGCTAAAAGGCATAGTTTCTATCAGTGCTCGGGCAGTAACCTCTTCTAGAAACTCTTTCTGCTGAGCCTTGGCCTGAGAGCGGGTTACAACCAGGCTAACTGGCTTGGAAGACTGAATAAGCTCAGGCAGAATTAACACATCCTGCCCCAACACTACAGGATAGCTCAATCCTTTAACCACTCCCACGTTTAATGAAAAGACCTGACCTTTGACCTCCAGACAAATGTCTGCTACCGGGTAAACATGCTCATCTCCATTCACACAGCAAACCCTGAGCTGCCCTTTCCCCAACTCAACTGGCTGCTTTACCAGATGGGGTTGGACTAGGTGTGAATGCTACCTGAGTCTAAGAGAGCAACTGTAGTTTTGCCATTCACTTTGACCGGTGTAGTCTGTAATCTGGCAACAACTCCAGTTCCAGGCCCTGACAGGCTACACAGGTTTTTAGCTTTCCTAACGGGGCAATCCCGAATCATGTGACCAGGTTGGCTGCAGTAATGACAGATAACAAAAGTCCTGTTATGTGTAGCTGTGGGTGCTGGGGCCTGTCTAGGCTGTGAGGTGGCTGGGGCCTGTCTAGGCTGTGAAGTAGAAGGAAAAGGGTAGGCCTGTTTATCCGGTATCCTACTCTGTACGGACCCCCTAGGACCAACTCCACCACCGAACCCCCCAGACTTACCTCCAATAGCTGGTCGGCTGAAGGTCTGAACCCGGAAAGTCTTTGGTCCCTGACGAGCAGCAAGGAAGGCTTCCACCAGCTCTGCAGCTTGCTGGCCTGTAGCTGGGCGGTGCTCCTTCACCCAGACACGCACCTCTGGAGCTAGGGTACGCAGGTACTGTTCCAGGACCAGAATTTCTCCTACTTCCTCCACCGACTTCCCGGACGGCTTAATCCACTTCCTGTAGAGGTCCATCAAGCGGTTGTACAGTTCCCGTGGAGTCTCCCCTGTCCTGACCTCTGGATCACGGAAACGCTGCCTGTAGACTTCTTCATTTATCTCGAACTTGGTGAGAATAGCGTCTTTCACTTCATCATAGTCCGTGGCATCAAAACTGTCCATTGCCACATAAGCTGCCCTGGCTCGGCCGGTAAGATATGGCACCAGGTACACAGCCCAGTTGGCTCTCGGCCACCTATAGGCGACAGCAAGTCGTTCAAAAGTTGTGAGGTACTGTTCAATGTCGTCCCCCTCTTCCAGCTTTGGCACTGCTGCTCTGGTCCAGGCCACTGGGGACGGCGCTGCTGGGTCGATTGCTGGATACAGTGAGGCTGCTGGAACTGACACAGGAAATGGTACGGCCGACGTCACCCCCGGATTCAGCAGAACTTCAGGTGGCACCGTTGGATGCTGTGACACTGGTGGTGTGGCTGCCGGACTCCGCTGGGCTTCTGGAGACGGCACTGGTGGTCTGGCAGCCGGACTCCGCTGGGCTTCTGGAGATGGCACTGGTCACTGCATGAAAAGTGGGATTTTCGTCAATATACGGCACTGTAGATTGTCGTGGAACTTCAGGTTAGCGGCAGTTTACGGCAATTTGCAGGCTTCGACGAAAACTCCCGTAAATTGTCAGAAATTGACGTGGAATTTCTTAGGCAGTGTTCCCCCCATGCCTCCCCCCCATGGAATTCTAGGGGAGGCTTTAACATGTAAATGAACATGCTGTGAGCTATACAAATGCAAACCAGGGTTGCAGGGGGGGGGGGGGGTAAAACCCCCCCTGCAACCCTGGGTAAGAAAATCTCTGATACAAAGAGATCAGGTATACCCTCTTACATTTTAGCTTGAATTGATTTATTTAATTAAAGTATAGAGACCAAAACAGATCTTTAGCTGACAGAGCAATACATTTAGAGCAGTAATTTTTTTTTTTTAAATTTGCATTTAAGATAAAAAATAAAATGTTGTCTGTCAAAATGCTCAATTCACAATTACTTAAGTGGAAAAGTTTCAAGAAATGATTCTGAGATGATTCACTTTATAACATGGCGCATTATCCTGTTGGAAGTAGCCATCAGAAGATTGGTACACTGTGGTCATAAGGACATAGGTCAGCATGCTAAATTGGTTTTAAGTGGCCCAAAGTGTGGCAATAAATATCCCCCAAACAGATGGTAGAAATAGATCAGGCTCAGTATAGCCTAATTATAGACTCTTACATTTTAGCTTGAATTGATTTATTTAATTAAAGTACGCTAGATTACTGTGTATGCAAAGGTAAGGAAAAAAAAAATACACAAAATAATTTACCTCAAAAATTAGTTTTAATCAGAATCAGTTGGCTGTAATGGTTATTTTTTTTTTTTAGATTTCCACCTGTTTTTTTTTTTTTGTTATTGAATATATAAGAAAACAATAACAATCTCAAATAACAAGTCAATAACAAATATTTCAATACAAGAAGAAATATCACAACTCCTGCTTTTGAAAAATAAAATTAAATGCACAGGCTGGAACAAAGTATAAAATAAAATAAAATAAATAAAAATAAATAAAATAATAATAGTAGTTAAAGTAAATTAATCAGTGGGGACTACCAACTGAAATTCTTCAATTAACTCAAACAATTTAATTGCATTTAAAATCTGCATCTTTCTCAGACATCTTTTGAAAAGGGAAAGTTCATTTTTGAGAGCAGAGATTGAGAGGGAGCATTTTGCATAGCGACATTTATGGATATAATACTTTGTTACAATTATTAGAATATTGATTAAAAATTCCAAATTTTTTTTCTTTAATGGATAAACCGAATTGAATGTTTTGCCAGGAAATAAAATCTAAATTTATTGTTTTAGAAGACAGAAAGGTTCGAAGTTGATCCCATAAGTTTAATACTTCTTTACATTCATAAAAAAGATGTTTAGTTGTTTCCAATTGAGTTGTACAAAAGCCACAATTCTCAACATTAAACTTAAATCTCTCTCTTAAAAACTCATTTGAAGGATATATGTTATTTATTATTTTAAATTGTAATTCTTTATATTTAGGAGGAATTGGGAATTTCAAATAATTTGTCCTAATTTTGACTATCATAGATTTCTTAAAATTTTGTAAGAGAGCTGTGCTTTTTGTTCTTCCTGGGTACATATTATTTATAGAATATTGATTCAAAAACTTTTTGTTGCATTTATTATCTCTAATGTCCACCTGCTCAAATTCAATCTTATGGAGACAAACAATTGCAATTGCAAACAATTTATAGGTGCATTACCGCCACCTTCCAGAATGGAGCGACGCGAGCTCTTCTCGCGAGTCCTTCCGTATAACAATGACGTCGTATGTGATTGGAGGAGCCTGATGAGCCTTCGGCCCCATCGTCCAATCACGTGTGAGCTTTTGTGCACTACGACTTCTCGCGAGACCAGCATATTAGCAGACATGTTTGTGTTACCTTTATTATGGATATCTATGCTCAGAAGAGCTTCATCTCCAGTTACCGTGTTTGTATTTTGTTGTTACGTGAACAATGGCTGCACGACGTCTCGCGTTCAACTCGCCTCCAACTGCTCTTAGTCCAAAACTTTCGGCCAGCCCACAGACTGACGAGAAGAAACTGCTGATTGCTATCAGCGGACTGTCTCGTCAGCTTTGCGAGACAACTTTGCGGGATATACGAACTCGAGGAAGAGAAGACGGGTGCACAACGCCACGCTAGCGGTAAATATATGTTCGATTACTGGTAGCTATGCTAAAAGCAGCCTAGCTTAGCTAGGCAAGCTAAAGACACCCTAGCCTAGCTAGGTAAGCTAAAAGCAGCCTAGCCTAAAGCTTTATTAAAGTGTATTTTTTGTGATTCACAGGAAGCAATATGCCGTCTTAACAACTCGGAGAATAATTGCAGGCGCTATGAACCGGAGCAGGGGTAAGGTTTAAAGAATATGCTTTCATTCTGCGGTAAAAGGACATGGATACGGATGGATACCGACCATAGCTGTACTTTTTTTTTTTTCACAGACTACAGTCGCCTCACAATGAGGCGGTGACCTCCTATTTGCTCGGATTTGCACGATGTTGATAAAGACAACATTGTGTGTAAGTGACTTGTTTTAATGTTTTCTCCTTCCTTGTTACTGTGACTTGCGTTTGATTTTTTATTTTTATTTTTTTTTCATACCACTCTCATTTAATTGTTTTCCAGCTGCCTGTAAGACGTATTATGAGACGGTATGCAGGAGCTTCAGATACACGCTGCTAGCCAGCACGCTGCGTGCGGAGGCTGCCAGGCTATCTGCTCGGAGTCGGGCCAGAAGAAAGAGGGTAAGACTTTATTTGGTGACTATTTTTCAGGTGCATTAATAGATGTGTTGTGCCCATATGCAGTGCGCTGATTCATTGTTTTTTTTTCAGCTGCTGAAGGCGAGGCAGAGTGTGCTGGCAGATGAGGAAGTGGAACTCTGTAAGTCCGCCACCGTCGACCTCATGTCCGACGAAGAAGATGGCGTCGTCGGCGGTGTCTCTGGATGGATTGTACGGTCGCCGCCATTTCGTAGGCCGGATCTCACTGAACTCTGTGTTAAGCTGCAGTCCCGGTTAGAAGCGATGCCGAAGTACAGGGCCACGCACAGTATGCGTCTGCACATCGGACCTGCCTCGGAGGGAATGCTGCCAGTTACCTCCAACCCCGAGGAAGCAAAGAGTTGTAATTTTTAGAAACGCATGTGTTTGGATACGCGTTGTATATAGTTGTGTGTGTTTTAATAAAGCTCTTTCTTTGCATAAACAGCTTCCTGGCAAATCTTCATTTCCTGTATAAATTCATTCATGTCCTTGATGGTAGCATAATAATTGTGTAGTAGTGTAGGATAACATAAATACACAGCATATGAATGAATAAATATATGAATGAATAAATATATGAATGAATAAATATATGAATATATATATATATGAATGAATAAATATATATATATGAATAAATATATATATATGTAAATATATATATATATACACTATATTGCCAAAAGTATTTGCTCACCCATCCAAATTATTGGAATCAGGTGTTCCAATCACTTCCATGGCCACAGGTGTATAAATTCAAGCACCTAGGCATGCAGACTGTTTTTACAAACATTTGTGAAAGAATGGGTCGCTCTCAGGAGCTCAGTGAATTCCAGCGTGGAACTGTGATAGGATGCCACCTGTGCAACAAATCCAGTCGTGAAATTTCCTCGCTCCTAAATATTCCACAGTCAACTGTCAGCTGTATTATAAGAAAATGGAAGTGTTTGGGAACGACAGCAACTCAGCCACGAAGAGGTAGGCCACGTAAACTGACGGAGCGGGGTCAGCGGATGCTGACGCGCATAGTGCGAAGAGGTCGCCAACTTTCTGCAGAGTCAATCACTACAGACCTCCAAACTTCATGTGGCCTTCAGATTAGCTCAAGAACAGTGCGCAGAGAGCTTCATGGAATGGGTTTCCATGGTCGAGCAGCTGCATCCAAGCCATACATCACCAAGTGCAATGCAAAGCGTCGGATGCGGTGGTGTAAAGCACGCCGCCACTGGACTCTAGAGCAGTGGAGACGCGTTCTCTGGAGTGACGAATCGCGCTTCTCCATCTGGCAATCTGATGGACGGGTCTGGGTTTGGCGGTTGCCAGGAGAACGGTACTTGTCTGACTGCATTGTGCCAAGTGTAAAGTTTGGTGGAGGGGGGATTATGGTGTGAGGTTGTTTTTCAGGAGCTGGGCTTGGCCCCTTAGTTCCAGTGAAAGGAACTCTGAATGCTTCAGCATACCAAGACATTTTGGACAATTCCATGCTCCCAACTTTGTGGGAACAGTTTGGAGCTGGCCCCTTCCTCTTCCAACATGACTGTGCACCAGTGCACAAAGCAAGGTCCATAAAGACATGGATGACAGAGTCTGGTGTGGATGAACTTGACTGGCCTGCACAGAGTCCTGACCTCAACCCGATAGAACACCTTTGGGATGAATTAGAGCGGAGACTGAGAGCCAGGCCTTCTCGTCCAACATCAGTGTGCGACCTCACAAATGCGCTTCTGGAAGAATGGTCAAAAATTCCCATAAACACACTCCTAAACCTTGTGGACAGCCTTCCCAGAAGAGTTGAAGCTGTTCTAGCTGCAAAGGGTGGACCGACGTCATATTGAACCCTATGGATTAGGAACGGGATGTCACTTAAGCTCATATGTGAGTCAAGGCAGGTGAGCAAATACTTTTGGCAATATAGTGTATATGCCAACCAATCACGAGCGAGTTTACTTGTTTAAAAAGAAGTGGTTCCATCCAATACTCAGTAAGAAAATTAAAGCCTGGCGTGGCCACGTGTGGTTTTGCTGCCAATCACGAGCGATTTCATTTGTTTGAGAATAGTGGTTTCAGCCAATACTGAGAAGGTTATTCAAGCCAGACCTGGCCAGCCGCGCGGGTTTGCTGCATTCATATGCTAATTAGGGCCATTAGTACAGCTGATCGCTCTCCACATACGTCACGGTACGTTTTCGACAATTTGTGGCACGACAAACGCGGACAAGCACGGGTTGCAAATTGTCGGAAACTGACGAAAATCAGGCAGATCTGCGGGAGTTTACGGGGGTTTACGGGGACGAAAATCTCACTTTTCATGCAGTGGGTGGTCTGACTGGCAGTGCTGGTACAGCGGCATCAAACACAGGTCGCTGACGCCCCTGTCGCCCAGAGTCCAACTCATCCCACACATTGTTCAACTGGACCTGAACGCTACGCCACCTCTGTTCATGCTTGTAGGACTCATGCGCTTGGGTCTTGATAGCAGTCTGTAGCAGGTTGTACAGTGAACGCAGGTCAAGCTCCCCGGACACTTCAGCTGCTCCTCCTGTGGCTCCACCCTCAGCATCATCAGCTGAGCGCTGGAATCTCTCTACTTCCACCAAGTCCTCCTCATCACAAGGAAGCTCCATTGAGTCAGCTTTGGTCCGCCTGACCAATGACATCGCAGACCTTGACTGCAGCCTTCCTCCTCCTCTCCTTTTCGTAGACTTCTTCGGCGCCACGATCCCACTTCTGACACTACATGTGAGAAAAAACGGCTCGCCAGCTCCCGTCTCACGTCAGAGGAGGAGTAAGCAGATGACTTGCAAAAAAAACTAAATAGTAAGAACCAGCGGATGACAAAATTCCAGTTAAAAAGCGTGTAGCAATTTATTTACTGGCGATGGTGAAGACAAAAAAAACAAAACAAACAAAATACTTTCAAATAAAGAAAACAAAACCGGCCATTGCAGGCAATACAAAAAACTGACAGCCTCACAGCAAGCTGACATTAAATATAGTTATTTTTAAAGCAGACCTTCCAAAACAGTTTCTCCAAGCAGCCCTCCAAGCAGCCCTCCCAAGACATTGTGAGTATGCCCCTTAAATAGACCCACCAATAATTAACCAATTGGGACAGCCCAACTGAACAGGAAGGCAAATCCCAAATAAACCACAGTTAACATGATAGAAAAATAAATACAGACACTATCATCATTCATACAAAAACATACATATTTATGAAATAATTTATTATTTAATATATTATTATTTATGAAATATTTATTTTTGTTTGTAATTTGGTTCAGGCCTCTATAATCGATACAGGGTCTTAAAGAACCATCCTTCTTTCCAACAAAGAAAAATCCTGCGCCCAACGGGGATGAAGATGGACGAATTATTCCTGCAGCTAGCGACTCGTTAATGTATTTTTCCATCGTCTCACGTTCTGGTTTGGAAATGTTGTAGAGTCTACTGCTGGGTAACGGAGCCCCGGGTAACAGCTCGATGGCACAGTCGTATGGTCTGTGTGGTGGAAGGGACGAAGCACTGACCTTACTGAAAACAGGAGCCAAATCATGGTAATCAGGAGGTACCGAAGAAAGGTCAGGGACGTCCATCTCCCCCCCACCTCTAGGGGGCCCCACAGCGGGAGCTGCAGAACGGAGGCATGTCTCATGACACAATGTGAACCAGGACTCCACATGACGATCAGCCCAATTTATATGGGGATTATGCTTCTCCAGCCATTCAAAACCCAGCACCAGAGGGGAACATGCGGATGAAAAAACAAAGAAGGTTATGGTCTCTCGATGGTTACCTGAGGTTAGCAGTTCAAGAGGTTGAGTTTGGTGGGTGACTTGATGAAGTTTCTTCCCATCGATCGCAGAGACCCTGAGAGGCTGGGTTAACGGAACTGTAGCAATTTGAAGCTGTTGGACGAGATTAGAATCAATTAAGTTTCGTTCACATCCAGAGCCAATGAAAGCTGAGAAAGAGAGGCTCTGGTCTGAAACAAACAACGTGGCAGGAAGCATAAGACGAGGAGGTTTTTCAGTTTCTTCGTGGCCCGTCAGACTCCTCAAAACCTCTGACGGGCCCCGGCTTTTGATTTTGCTGGGCATGAAGCGATGAAGTGTCCACTCTCACCGCAATAAATGCAAAGTTTGCCCAGAAATCTCCTTTGTCTTTCCTCTGGAGTCAGCCTAGTGTGTCCAACCTGCATAGGCTCCATTTTAGTATCTCCAGAATGAGTAGCCTGAACAGGCATAGGGAGAGGCTGGCTCTTAAGCTTTGGTCTGGATAATTGTTCTGTGGGAGCAGAAACAATAGTCACATTATTTGAGGCGGGGACAGAAGAAATTAACCCCAAATTCCTGTGCCTAAGGCTGTTTCTAGCCCGAATCCGATTGTCCAGCTTAATGGTTAGCTGAATCAATTCCTCGAGTGTAGCCGGTTCATCAAGGGTAGCCAACTAATCTTTAATATGTTCGTTTAAAGCCTCAAAATAAGCTCCCTTTAAGGCACTCTGGTTCCATCGGGAAGCAGCCGCTTTAACCCGGAAGTTTATGGAAAACTCAGCCACGGAAGAATTTCCCTGTTTAAGATGAAAAAGAGCTCGTGAATCAAGGGTTTGATCGGTGTCCAGGTTGAAAACTTGGGAAAACTCTGAAATGAAATCTGTATAATGACAATCAAGGCTTTCATCTGAGGCAAATCTGGCTTGAGCCCAGGCCAGAGCTCTTCCTGTTAACTGAGAAAGAATGAAGGTTATTTTCTTGTGGTCCGTGGGAAAACTGCCAGGAGAGTTCTGGAAAATTAGTCGACATTGAAATAAAAATTCCTTGCAATCATTTACGTTACCAGAAAACTTTTCATCGGAGACTTGGGCGGAACTCGGATGACGTCACGGCCGGTGACCTCGGAAGAGGAACTGGACCCGGAAATGGTTGAACTGCCGGTATGGCATTTGCACTATTGATATGGTTAGCGTAGCTTTGGAGCATCTGATTTTGCATCTCAATATGCGTGTTCAACTCACGGAGAGCCAGGGCGTGTCCATGGATTTGGGCTTCTTGCTCCTCTAAACGACGGTGGATGTGATCTGCTGGGCCTTGTGTCTGGCCGCAGTGTTCTGTCATGATGGGTAAACAGAGAGGCCCAAGATGCAGAACACTGACGACTCAGAGGGAAAGTTTTAACAAGTTTATTGTTTGCACAAGCATGAATAATAATAAGGACAGTTGACTGGTTCTGGTCTGGGACTGGTTCACTGGAGTCTGTGAGAGAGACAGTTCTGTTAGCGAAGGCTTGGTTGGGATTGATCTTTGTTGTGTTCAGGTTTGTACCTTGAAGAACGTAGAAGGGGCTTTGGGAGTGGAACTGTTGGGTCCGGAGATGATTTGGTTCTGCAGAGTCCGTAAGCTGTTTCAGCGTCTTACTTCTTGAAACGAGTTTGACCTTGGCTAGAGTTTCCAGCTCAGTATCCAGAGCTGCTAGGAAATCCAGAGAGTGAGTCTTCAGGTTTGGCTCGGAGGGCAGGCTCGGCAGGTTAAGCTCTTCCAGAGCTTCACGGAGAAAAACAGGTAACCTGGAAGCAGAGACAAAAAGGGTTAGAACCCAAAACAGGACTCAGAAGTAACTAGGTTCTCAGAGGATCTATGGCTTAGGTGCTAACCAACTGATTAAGACACTGCGGCGTCGAGGCAAGGTCTGAAGACAGCTTATGTAGTCTGGTCCTCCAGATTAGGGATGGGGATCGAAACCCGGTTCCATCAAGGACCCGGTTCCACTTTTTTCAAAACCCGAAAATCAATAACGTTTGGGCTTATCGATACCACTATCGAGTCTGGTCGTTTTTTTTTTTTCTCCGGAGGTCCTGTAACATAATTGTGTGGCCCTCGAGTCGCGTCACAGCATTTAAATCTAATCAATCCAATCACTGCAGCATGTCCACCAATGTTTTGGAATGAAATTGTAAGCAAACAGATATTAAAAGTAAAAAAAGTGAAGTCTGGCACTTAACTTTGCTCGCCACTCGAGAATGGCTGAACGGAAAAGACTCCTCCTCCTCCTACTGCACCACAGTCGGGCCCGTCTTCATCATCCACTCAGAGTACCACTGGTAAGCGCGCACACAGACTTTGTAGCTTGTCCGGTCAGTTAAAAATAGTAATTGTGAAATCCGTCTTGTAATCGGAAGCATACAAGCTAGTTAGCTTGAAAAGTAAATAAAGTTTCAGACGTGCTGCGTGATGATGTGTTCAGATTGGCTCAGTAAAACGACAATTAGGTTATCATGATGCGTTCAAGTGTAACGTAAAGAAAACGGGAAATTTAGTTTTTGGCGAGAAACATGAGTAATACAGTTGTATATTGCTCTAACTATTTTAGAATATATAATTAAACTACTGATGCCAACATTTATTAAAAATTACATTTAATTTAAAATACAATTATTTATTTGTTAAATATTTTCCTAATCACTAAAAACATGATGAAAATTGACAGTAGACAATATATTAACCAACAATTGTGAAAATATATTCTAGTTAGTTTTATGTCATTTCGAAGTGGCCTATTACATTAGCCATGTTTATTGAAGGCTAGAAACCTTTTTGTTATGCTCACTTGTTAAGCAATAAAAGCAATACCAGTTCTGTTAAAAAAATTGCAATGTTGCATCGTCTTTCCACCAAATAACAGAAAAGTATCGATAGTGGTATCGATAAAGACTCGGATCGATAAGGAGTATCGATAAAGGTATCAATATCAATAAATATTAACGATCCCCATCCCTACTCCAGATGAGATGATCAGCAGCAGGTGCGCAGACAGCTCAGCTGAGAGGATCCAGGGCGGACTCTGCTGGAGAAAGTTGGTATTTCTCCAGCTCCCAACAAATAATAATATAAGTCTGACTCTCTGGCATATGGGGAAATCTACAGAATGCATGTTTTAATTTTTTTCTTCTTAAAATAGGCCTATAGACTACCACTTTAGTTAGAATTTAAGTCTGACACATGTGGACGGAGTAATTAGAATCCACTTGCCAGTAACGGCCACTCGGAGCAGATAGCAGCCCGAGAGTTGCCTGTAACACAGAGCTAGGAGTTTATCATATCTTATTATTATGATACACAGTAGTCCTAGTAAAGAAACACCGATTAAAACATTGATTGCACAACCTAAATGATAACCAAGTGGGGAAAAAATGCCAGATGAGGCAAGAGAAGAGTGATTAGAAGTGAGCGATGGATGCAGAAACTATGCCATGTAACGCCAGGTTCGCTCCAGTTTTTCCTTTTACAGTTGCACATTTCAAGTTTTCAAGTTCCTGTTTGCTGACAGATATTTAATGAAGATAAATTTTGCCTTCATCAGTACTGGATTAGAGATGTACAGTTAAGATCACAAGTGGGCCAATTCAATTCAGTTTGGTTCAGGTAGATATTTAATGATGCAGGAAATAACAATCTGAATGTACAATTTATTTATGATGCTTTATAATAATAAATGCTATAAAATATTTGCTTGCATGCTTGCATTAATTATCTGTGCCCACGATTTTTTTTAAATAATAAACTATTTGCCCCAAAAAATGTTCTCGAACACTTCACGTGCTCACATTTCTTTTGGTGCCCTATTGTGCCCCTGTATAGTATTG